GATACCTAAACACTGAAAGAAAATGTATTTAATTAATGCATCTGACTGTAGTGAAACCAGGCTCAACTAGTCCTAGCCATGTCATTTTTTTTCCCCATGCAGCTGTGTTTGTTCAGAGGTCACTTGCTCTCTTTCATGATGCCATAAAAAAGCTGCCACCATTTTATGAGAACACATCTTTTAATCTTTCCCCTCCCTCTCCCCATCTTCCACCAAGAATCAAGTTATGGAACAGAATCTCAGTGGACACTACCTCTAGAAGGAAAACTTACTCTATTTTTTTTATCTCTTTGTGTGAAGGGAAAATAAGTAAGAAAAGCAGGGGTGTTTTGGGTTAGGTTTTGGTTTGCTTTTTTTTTTTTTTTTCTGCAGGCATTCCAGCAGTATGGGGTTAAATTCCCCAATTACTTTGAAGGCAGAATTCTCATTATAATTGTTCGGAATTTTGACCAAGATGGGACTAAAAGATTTAGCCCTTGATTAGCTTTTTAGCAGTATTTGTTGAGGATTATAGCAGTCAGTGGAATTGCTCCAGATTTATTACTGTGAATGAGCAAAACTTAAGCAACTGGCCTTAAAACCAGCTTTCAGCTTTGCACATGAATTAGAAGAGATAAGTCAGCTCAAGTAACAAACAGCTTCGGGATGCACTGTTATTATCTAGGGCAGTTCCCTGCAAACCCTCCTGTACCTATTACCCATAGAGACGCCTGTCCTCTGCTCTCAGGGAGGGTATGGTAGGTCCCACCTGATTTGGCTTTCGGAAGAGAGCACTGAATTAAATTTGTTTCTCTCCAGGATGATGGAAAACTGCCAAGTTCTTATGTTGCCCCATGAGGTTTATGTTTAATCCTGCTAAGTCCACATGAATATTTTTGGAAATATAACTAATTTCTTGCTATGAAATGTGACCAGTGCATTACAGCCATTTGTTGGCCTGAAGAAGTGACATGAGGCAATTTGCAACTGCTGCAGGCATCAACAGTCATTACCAGTGCTTTAAATGGAAAAGGGAAGGTAAAATATTTCCTAGTGTTACGGAAAACAGAGCTTGAGTACTGAGCTTGTACCTACCTAATATTTTGGTCCTAAATGTGGAAGAGTAAAGAAAGAAGTAACAATGTAATTTAGTTTTATTGGGCACTATTTTAAAAATGTTAGATGTTTTTTATTTAGCCTTGTACCTACCTAATATTTTGGTCCTAAATGTGGAAGAGTAAAGAAAGAAGTAACAATGTAATTTAGTTTTATTGGGCACTATTTAAAAAATGTTAGATGGTTTTTATTTAGCACTTAAGGTTATTGTGGCGGACTAGCATTTGTCAAGACTGTGGGCTTTCTTTGAGGGAAGCGAAGATCTCTCGCTGACAGGCATTTCCCCCAAGATCTTACAGTCACCTTGGGGGTCAGGTGCTCAGAGTCCCAGACAAATGTAACTGAAGTCAAGTATTAATTTAAAAAAAAAAAAAAAAAAAAAATTCCTTTAGGGGTCTATCGCCCAGATCTCTTCTGAAAAACCTAAATTCACTCCAGTGACAACATTGAAACAAAATGGATAAAACTGTTGCTGTTCTTGCACCTCTGTATTGTCATCTCTGAGCAAGACAAATACTAGTAGCCTTCGCCATCTTTAACCCTGTTTAAATGCCAGTCAATTCCCTACAAATATCAGCATTCTTTGTTTACCAAGAAGAAGGGAAGTCTTCAACCACTTGATGTTCGTAGCCTCTAATTTTGGCCCTGAAAAGAAGCAACGCTTTGGCTTTGATACTTTTCTATTCTTGCCAGACAGTTACGTTTTTCTGTATTAAAAGGGGAAAAAAAAATAACCCTGGGATGGTCTTGCTTCTTCAGTCCTGAAACAACCATGTTGCAATTTCAAAATGCAGGTTAAGACATATGTAATTATAATGATCATCTAAAAAACAAAATTACAGAACAGTTACAAATGAAGCTCCTAATCGATAATTTTGATGATCATGCTTCCCGAACTTCCACAACAGCAATGGCAAGTGCTTGTGTAGAGAAGCAATATGAGCAAAGCATTGTACACGTTCAGTATCTTCAAAAATCCAGTCTGTGTTTCCTCTCCAGATCTCATCATTCTGCTTCTGTGTCAGGGCTGATAAAGAGGAAAAAACTTTTAGCTCTTCAGTTCCCCTCCTGATTCACACATTGCCATGTTGCCTGGCCCTTCTTGTTGTTTGCTTGCTTTCTTCCTTGCTCTCCTGGCTATAGGCTCTGAAAAGTAGCTCGCATTTCCTCTCCTGCCACTGTTATGTAGCGCTGGCCGCTAATGGCTACGGATACGCTGCCTGCTGCTTGCTTCCAACTGGTTGTGCAGCCCTCCAGGCTATCCTTTTTGGAATGAGGAGCCCAGTCTCTGTCAAAACCACAAGAAACTGGGGAAGCCTTTTGCAGGCTGCCAGCAACTATTTCATGGACCTGCTGACGCGATGCCGAGGCCCTCTTTGACACTCGGTTCATAGAGTGAGTAGTAATGGCCATGTCCCCCTTCCCCCACGCGTCTCCAGAGAAGGGCCGAGGAAGGAAAGCGCTCAGATTACCTTCATTTTGGCTTTGCATTTATTTTGCTATTTCAGCATCTGACCCAACTTTTATAGGCTGCTTCTGCGGGAGCTGTTCAGGTCTCTTCTGTAGCGTTTGAAGGATTACCTGCAATTATAAACAACTACACGTGTCTATTTGGTCTCTCCAGGTTGGATGTTTTGCTGTGATGGAGCAGGGATACTGGTAGCTTGTTGATTTTGTGTTTGCTGGGCACTGTTTTCTGATCTGACTTTACAAGTGTATTTTGCCTTGTCTTGTACAGCAATGCTGGCTCTAAAATAGTATTTGAGTATGTGGAAAAAACTCCTGTCTCAGTAATAATGTTCATCTGATATGTAGTATGAAGATAAGATACAGAATAATCACAGCATGTTGAGGTGAGATAGTTGGTTTATATGTTGCAGTACACAGGATCAGTCAGCTTGCTACCACTGGAACAAAAAAGAGCTAGGCTTCAAAATGCTTTAAATAAGCTATCCAAAAGGAGTTTGGGGAGTTAGTGTTAGCCTTGGTAGGTACTGTGGCCCCTGGGCAGCCTGCTCAGGGCTGAGACAGTCAGAAACAAGCTCACTGCCAGCGTGCTGGTTTGGGGAGCAGCGGGAGCTGGTGGCCCCGCACAGGGGCTGTGCGTGTTGGCTGTGCTAGACCGTCCCCTCGGCAGGGCAATGAGCTTATCTTGGTGCAGCGCAGCACTCTTCGGTGCAGATGGTTGTAAGCTTTCTGCACCCCTTGTGCTGTAGATACGTTTTTGTGGTCTGGGGGTCTGTTCTGCTCGTGCAGCCTGGTCTTCATCTGCCCTGTGCCTTTCTGTTTGCCCTACACCAGCCAAACCTGGCCGGTGTAGTACCATTAAACATTTCTGGGGTGTTAAGTATACTGGGATGCACTAGCATAGTGCTCTCCACCTTCAGCAGAGCTCAGACCAGGCTGTGGGTAAATGCAGCCTCCGTAAGATCACCCTCCTGGCTTCAAGGTGGGGTTGAAGTCATGGGAAGCAGTTGTGTCTGGAGCCTGGTAGCACTCTTCTTCCATTTTCTGCTTTTTTAGAAGCCAGGATTTCCCTTTTTTTTTCTTTTTTTTTACTTCCCTTAGAGGTCAGGATTTTAGATATCATCCCCATACTTCTTGCTCTTCCTTTTCTTTCCCTTTTCCCAGCAGCAAGGTGCAGGTGGCCTGTAGGTGACTTGATTTGGGCTTAAGGAATTCAAAGGAATGATGACAAAGGGAAGGCACTCTCCTGCCTGAGACTACAGAGCCTCATGCTCTGGCTTTGCCTGCTTCCATTTTTAAGCTGCCCTTGTCTACCCATCTGATCTCTTCAAACAGCTAAATAAAGCTTTAAAAGCGTTCCACAGGTACCTAAAAGCACCATGTGTTTAAAAACTATGTACTTACGAGAATTGCTTTACTTCTAAAAAACCCCAGCCCGCCTTGATTTGGAGCACGAAGAATGAGGAGTTGGGGGGCTTCTGCATCACAGTTGTGTTTGGGGGCAAAAGCTTAGGACAAATTTAAGGTCTTTTCCAACCAAAGTGATTCTATGATTCTATGAAATGTGTGGTATTTTGTTGAAGGCAAATACGTTAGTAGTCATAATGATGAAGCAGAGATGACTGTCTGCATAATACATTTCATATAGCTAGACAGGACAGAATCAAGGCTTGCAATGCCATACAGTGGGCCAGTATGTTATCCTGGGAGGTAACACTGGGAAAGTCAATTCTTCACTGGTCCAGCTCCCCTGTGAGTAACACCACAAGTTAGACACCTTCAGGGAGCTAGTTACTTCTCCCATTTTATCTGGAATTGTACCATGGTGGGCAGCCGGTGGATGGTAAAAGAATGAGAGAGGCCCTGGTGGTGGCGTATAAGCGTGCACACACACCCAATAAACTCAGCTTTGTTCTTTTTTCCTGAATGTCCTTACAGTGATAGATAGGCTGTCAAACATAAAGGTGCAAGCTTTACCCGTTCTTACTCAAGGGAAGGGGTGGTTGTGAACTGTTAATGAGGTTGAGAAAATTCCAACTTCTTAGAACTGACATAAAACAGCAAATACATGATGTTGCCTGGTCATTTGAGCTCCATTTGCTTCTTCATTTGTGTTATAGGCATTTAGGCAAGCTTTCCATTTTGCAATACACTAATATTTTCAAAGCTTTTGTGTTAATTGAACACAACATTCAATACCAGTATTTCTAATTCTACCCATGTATTTTTAATATTAAAAAATGGTCAGTTTAATATATGCACCCTTCATTAATTAGAATTATATTCATGTTATTTTGTATCTTTTTCTGTTTCAGAGTTAACGCTGTATCACCACAGAGAGCAGCAATGGGAGTATGCAGTTTTCTATTGAAAAGTTCTCTCAAGAGCTCATGATTTTTTTCCATCTCTCCTCTTAACACTTCTACTACTACGCAGACATGGCTCACCACGCGAGGCCTTCCAGATTAGTCAAAAAGGAAGAGTTAGGCAAAAGGAAAACCAACCAGGGCAAAAAGAAATCTACCCAAGTGAGAAAGAAAACCACAAAGACTTCTACAAAAGCTGTTAGTTCTGGAAAAGGCAAAAAGCCAGCACAAGAAAAAGATGTTAAGAAAAAACAGCAAGAAAAGAAACCAATCATGAGCTCTTCAGGTAGACTTCTCAGGAGCAGTGTAACCAGAACCTTGTCTGGAGCATCTTGGGTGAGTTTGGAGAAAGCTGACAATATCCTCTTTCACAGCCAGGATTCTTTCAACATCAATGGCTTTACAATGTCTCTCCGTAACCGATCGTTCTCCCGTAGATTGTCCCAAACTCCAACAATTGCAAAACCCAGGAAAGCTGCAGCACAAAAAAGGCTAGAAACAAAGGAAAAACATGACCAAGAAGCCCTGGCAGTAGTAGAAGAAAAAAATGTTGAAGCAGGCGAAAGAGTTTTGAAACAAGATTTAGCACAAAATGAGTTAGCTCCTCTGCCTGTAGAAGATACTCCATGTAGCGTAGGCGAAGAGCCTGCTACCACATGTGCCAGTCAAGACAAAGAGGTAGAAATACCTGAAACAAATGACTCCATTCCAAGCAGTCAGGTAACTGATGAGGATACGGAAGTGTCAGAGGTGAAATACAAGCATGAAGACCTGCCCTGCGAGGAGACACCCAGCAATCTCGATATGGGTAGTTCGGCTGAAGCATTTGTTGAAGATGCTGCACATGTGCTTCCGTCTTCTCCTTCTGACTCCATAATCACCTCTGAATCAAACTCGAAGGTGTGTGTAGAGACTCCCTTCGATCTGGTGCCTAACAATGAAGAACTTGACTCCAGTTCTGTTGATACCTCAGACCTCAACTCAGCAGTACCGTTAGAGGAGTCAGCCCCAGCTGCCAAATCCCTCATCGAAGCAGAGTCGGACCTGGTGCTACCTAATGAAGAACAAGACTCGGACTCTGCGCCTGTAGTTACCTCTGAGTTTAACTCACAAGAACATTTATTAGAAGATGCAAGCTCACTTGCAGAGTCCTGCTTGAAGGCAGGCTGGGATTTAGAGCCTGAGAATAAAGACATTGGTTCAAATTCCAGCTCTGTAGCTGCCACTGAATCAAATTCACTTTTACATTTTGAAGGTGCAAGCTCACTTGCAGAATCCCACGTGAAACTGGTTGCGGATTTTGAACCTGTTCACAAAGAACTTGACTCAAATTCGGATTTGAGCTGTACGAGAGAGAATTCAGAATCTGAGTCAAAAAACATATTTACAGTATGTGAACCAGTTTCTGATACCTCTTTAAACAATATTGCAGTGGAGGACATTGAACAGCTTGTTAAATGTATTGATGCAGAGACTTTAATTTTGAATTCAGGTTATGTCCCCACTTTATCTCCACATTTAGAAAAAAGCACAGTCGATAATATCTCTGGTGAAAGCTCTGGACAATTCTCTGAAGGTTTTGGTTTGGAGTTGCCTTCAAGCATGGAAATCTCTGCTTTTGCCTCAGAAAAAGCCATAAATGCAGATTTGCCAGCTGACTCAAGACTGCAGCATAATGATTATTCATCACAGCTGGGAAGAGTCGGAGTAAGCTTGAATTTGTTTCAGGACAACGTGAGCAACAGCACTGAAGCAGTTGAGGCCTCAGGGCCATCCTCTCTTAAAAATCCAGCTGGTGATCACCCTGTTCCATATTCATCTCTGCTCCCTATGCTAGAGAAAAAGAAACGAAGGCGTTGTGGAGTCTGTGAGCCCTGTCTGCGGAAAACAAATTGTGAAGAATGCAGCTGTTGCAGGAAACGCAAAACTAGTCACCGGATATGTAAAAAGAGAAAATGTGAAGAACTGAAAAAGCCACCGCCGCCAATCATGCTACCTTTTGAGGTAAGCCAAAGAAGTTGCAAATTAAGTCACTCTTTTGAGGTTTGAGGTACATCTTAAAATTCTGCAAAGGGAAATGCTGGTCACTGTACAGCTTTAGAGAGCTTAGGGTTACTGTTGGAGCTAACAGGTTGTATAGTAACTTTCTCTTGTCATCTGTAGATGTGTAGATTAAAGTGAGCTGGGGTTTTTTCTTGTTCCTGCTGTGTAAATGCATAAAATCAGGTAAGTACGGCTCTAACTCTGTGTTCCAGATGTTGGCATACTGGCCAAACCAATGAATTAATTGAGGGCATGAAGAGATGAGAAAGATTTGAGTGCGAAATGGGGCGGCGGGGGCGGGGGGAGAGGAATGAGGGTAGTCTTAGGAGACTGCAAATTATTAGGGAGAGGGTCTGTATTTCAAAATACTTATGGTTAAAAAGCAAAGAAAGGCAGGCTGTTTGCTCTTTAATTCAGGTAATATAATTTGCTTGCTATGAAAGATTTGGTGGAAGTAAAGTTAAAAGCTTCAGGATCAAATTGTAGCTGCATTTCCCCTTTCACATCTCTCTGCCTTTCTAATTGTCTATTCTTCTGTTTCTCTCATTTCATTTCTCCTGCCTGTCTCCCTTTATCTTTTACCACATCCCCCATATGTACTTTCTTTTTCTGTGTTTCTTACTCATTTTTCTGACCCATCAGCCTTTTATAACCCAGGTCATTACTTTTGGAACAAAGAGGAGGGGAAAAGACAATCTGTATGCCCCTGTGATAACAGCACTGGCCTTCTGAGAGAGATCAGTTCAAGATCAGGCTTTAAATCAGGTAAGTAGGGAGTTGAACATAGATTTCCCACATCCCAACTGAATTCCCCGACCGCGGAGCTGCAGAGTTAGCCTCTGCACCTCCGTGTCCTGCTGGAAGCGTTCTGCTTCGTATGATCCAACGGTACCTGAGCCACAGAGGGGGAGACGCTGTCTCGGTAGTTAAGTCACTGGGACATTTGCCTTGGGATGTGGGAAACTGAGGTTCAAGTCTCTGCACGAGCTTGTACTCCGAGTGGAGCAGTTCACGCTGGGGAGAATGCACCTGCAAAACCTTTCTCGATAGCAGTTTCATGAAAATGGCATGTTCTTACAGCAGGTAGAAATTCCTGTCAGCTGCAGAGATCTCAGGAGACCTCCTGTTTTCACCACTCTCTGTCCTGTGCTTAACCAGGATTTGCAGAGAAGTCTATTTTTAAGGTAGGCAAGCAAAAAGAAAAGCCTTGTAGCACTGAGGGGATGTGACATTCCCCTTTATGAGTGGAAGTATATTTTAAGTTATAACGTTTAGGGAAATAGGCTTAAACAGCTTGGCTCAGAGTTCATTTAAAAACTTCTTCGTGTCTCAGCTGCTCCTAAACGCTCTCTAAAATAAGGAAAAAGTGAGGGAGGGATGCTATAATGTGACTTAAGATATATATAAAAGCAATAAAGGTGATAGAGACTGATCTGACTTTTTACAACAAAAGAGTAGTGACATGACGTCCTTTTGTATGTTTAGTCAGTGGGATGGAAGAAGCTCATGGGAGAGAATTGGTGGAGTTTGAGGTAGGAAGTGATCTAAAAGCCATGTTTTAAAAAGGGTTTTGGCAGGGTCGGTGAAAGGAAGCACTCCAGCTTTTCTGTCAACCTTTGTTTTCCAGGCTAAACATGCTTCTTTTCTTGTTGCTCAGGCTGACCTTCTCCTTGCAGATTAGCTTTGCCCCTTCACCTTTGTCCTCTCTGGGCGCTCCTTTTGCTTTCTTTACGAGAGATTCCTTGTTTTTATTCTTTTCTTCGGCAGCTTTTTTTTGGTGTGCTTTTATTTTATGAAACTTGGTCGCATTTTGTACAATGCATTTAGAGCTGCACCAGAGGCCTCCTTCATTTCTTGTTAAATTTCGTATGAAGTTTCGGAGCACCGCATGGAGGAAATGAAGTATTCATGACATTTAAGAACATGTCAGGTATTTTCTTTTAAAGTTGGATTTGAATGAAACCTGGTGCCTTTTCAGACATTCCTAGAAGCAAGCCCTGCCTCATTTGTAATCTCTAGAAACCATGCTCTGGGAAAATGAGAGAGGAAGGTATTTCTACAGTGTAGATATGTTATGAATGCTCTTTAAAGATGTTGAGATACAGGGGGAGGTGTTGGGGGATGGGAAACACTGTATCGCTCTGTTCTGCAGCTATCCTTTAGATAAGATTGTAGCACTCTGGAAGGGAATCCCATTGTGTTTTCCCAAACTGGTAGGACTGGGACGGCCACAGCTGGGACTTCTGTGACAGTAATGTGTTTCAAATAGAGGGCTGCTGGGGAGAAACCAAAACTGTAGGTCTCTGTCCATGGTATAGAAAGCTAACATAATAATTAAGAGAAATGAGGTTGGCTTCAGTGCATTCCTTGTTCGGAAGAGTCATGCATCTCTCTCTCATGTTGGTGGAATGTAAGCATTTTTTTGAGGTGATTCACTGGGAGGAGGGTGTAGGGGATAGACATGCTCTGCACGAGCATAGTTTAAACATCGGTGTTTTGCCTTAAAGGGAATTATCTCTTCTCGTTCTAACTAAACAGTGCAGAAGTCACAATGAAGTCAATGAGAGCTCTGTCCATTAAATGGCTGTAGGATAGCCAGTGCAGGGGTTGGCAGTCCACGCATGCTGTTTAAAAAACAAAAAGTGTTCTTCTTCCTTAAGAACTTACGTGGATTTACAGTCACCAGGAGCAAGGCCTGGCTGGTAGAAGCTGTGAATGTAGGCTGAAGCGCATATTCCAACACACATGCCCATGTATGCACAAGCATTCGACCCTCAGAGAGTATCGGTTGCATGTTTGGAGCTGGTATTAGTTACGTTACTGTTCTTTTCATTAATTCACACATAATCCAGATAAAGATTTGAAAACTATATTGGACCTGAAAAATATCACTTAAAAATAACATCCACATAAACCTTCAGTGATACTTTACCTTGCTGAATGTAATGGGTTTTGCAGGGACATGACATCATGAAAGTCTGGATAAAGCATTTTGGGCTCTAGTTCACAGCCCTGGTGGGTAGCAATATTGTTGTATGTAATGCCCCTTTTCCTGAGGGATTCACGCCGGGGCTGCTTGGTTAGGAGCTGTTGAAGAAAAAATTCTAAAATATACAGGGGAAAAATTTTTTTGCTTACTGGTTTTGTTTTTTTTGCGAGAGCAGGCCAGTAAATAAAAAATGTAAGCAAGCTTTGAAAAGAAGAGGAAAAAGGCTTTATATCGGGTTACCGTCCCTCTCAGAATGAATAATGCGGGAACGCTTCACAGTGAAAAGAGGGTTTGAAAAGTTTACATACACCAGTGTGATGCTTCCACATTTTTGTCTTGTCTTTCCAAGACTGTTGTTTTCTGAAATAGTATAGCAGTTACTGAAGGCTATTTCACAGCTATTTTCTACCAAAAAGCATATTTCATTTCAAGAAGCAGACTGCTTTGCTGCCATTGCATCGTCACGCGTGTCGAGGCTGTCCGGATGTGTTGCAGCGTGGGGCAAGGATTTCGTAGGCTTCAAAACCAGCACGTAGATAGGGAAGGTGGTCCATCACGTATTTAATTTTCTCCTTGGGAAAAGGATTCCCGTTTTGCACAGGCGGGTGTTGCAGGTGTAGCAGCACACGCTCGGGATGAAAACGCTGCCTTCTGGGCGCTTGCAGTTGTCGATCGAGCTGACTTGGTGGTGTGCTGGGTCTCTGGCTGGGCAGGCAGATTTGGATCTCATCTGGCTCCCAGCTGGCCAGTGCTCTCCTGGGCGTAGCCCAGCCCTGGCCCAGGAGGGTGCCAAGCTGAGCGGCTCCAGTTACCGAAGCGAACTTGCAGGGTTTCATAACATGCCACTGGAGCTCCTCTTGCCCAAAAGGCTGTAAACATAAGGAGCTGCAGGGAGCCCTTATCTCTAAAGGCTGCTTGCTGCAAGGCTTGCCGAGGCGCCTGTGTTCTAGGGTCCTCCCTGGGCAGGGAGCCCTCTTGGGCTGAAAGCACCTGGTGGGAAGAGTTTGTGTTAGGTAAGGGACCACTGATGGTTCAGTGGGACCTGGAGTCAACAAAGTGGAAAAAAAAAAAAAAATCAGGTCACTGAGTGTAAGTTCACTGGGTTGACCAAGGTGTCTTGAGACGTCTTATTTAATAGCTATAATCTGAGTAACGTGAAATATGAAATAACAATAAGGGCCTGCTTGCTTGTGGGTTGTTAACAGGCTGCCGAAAACCCAGACGTATTTAAAAAGGATGCTGCAATTAGAGTTGGTTGGGAACTTTCCAGTAAGCCATTCCTTGAATGGAAAATGCTGATTTAACAGAAAGCTTTCACAGCTACTATCTGTCTCGATGCAACTATTTTGGGGGGAAAGTTTCTCAAGTTTCCAAATGAAATTTCTGCTTAAAACTTAAAAAGAGGGAGAGGATTATTAGAGCAGCTCAGTGGTTAGGGCATTTTGCCTGATGCAAACCGGGGGCTTGAACTTTTGTCTCCCACATCCCATCTGTCTCCTCTTGAATTTTTGAAAGGTTTGCTCTGCTTTTGGAACACAACCAAATGTCGAAATCTCAAAAAAAAAAAAAAAATAAAAGCAAAATGGAATTCTTGTTCTCTAGCCAGACCTAGTTATAATCAAGAAATTTAGACGTTGTGGTATTTATTTTACAATAGACTCCAGAAATATTTAAGCCAGTTAAATTTTAAAATGCACATAAAAACACTCCTCTTGAATACGATACTCGAGAGTCTTGGAAGGGGATAGCACTTGGGCTAGAGGAGTTTGGTAGCGTGTGGCAAAGATGAGCAAAGCTGTGTACAGCCTACTCCGTGGATGCAGGGCAAGGAGCTGGAGTAGTGCAGTTTACTCTTAGTTTACACGCGCATGCTCCGTGGGTGTGTAAAAATAATTACAACTCACACTTTGCCACTCTCTCTGATCCTGGGTGCAGGCTATAATGCAGCCTAAACTACAGGGAAATGGGTTAGTTTGGGGTCGAGTTATTTTCAGCGGGTGCGTTTAAAAAGTTGCCTCTTCACTGCTCCTTGTTTTCTGGGCCAGTTCTTACAGGTTTTACGGAGAAATTTTTATTTGAAGAGGTTTCTTTCCTTCCTTGTGTTACGAGGACCCATCCTAACAGGAGGGGAAGCTGCCTAACTAACAAGGAAACCTGAAACTGCCGCCTCAGTGCTGTCCAGCGCACGCAACAAATTGGGGACTGAATCAGAATACTGGGTCTTAGGTTTCTAAGCAAACAAAATAAATATTTTTCAAATATTTTTTTTTTTTCTGGACCGTAAAAGCATCTTAAGTAGCCAAAACTGCAAAGGAGAATCAGATCACCGAGTGTACATACCTCTCTTGTTTTTAATACGCTTAAAGAACCTTGCAGCCTTGTGGTATTTTAGGAAAACATTACAAATCCGTACTTTTATTTCGCCTGATCCTAAATCCTATTTAATACAGTACTCTGGTGCGATAAATGAGGAGCTGCAATACGAGGTAGCATCAGACAACAAAAATGAGCAACAGCTTTCTCTTGCTTGACTGACATGCTGCAGAATGAGTTGTGTGTCCACACCTGAGCATTTGCACTGCTTAACTGATTTGCACCAATAACCGGGCAGGAATTGCACTTGTAATTTAGCAGCAGATAAAGAAAACGGTTTTAAATTGCAGCCTGTAGCTGCTGAAAAGATGGCATTTTGTGTTTTTTTTTTTTTTTTTTGTGTGTAGCGTGTAAATCCACGGCCAACGTTCTGGTGTAGAAGTCCGCTGCAGATTGTGTCAGCCAAGGCTTGGGTGAGGAGCGGTGTGTTAGATACCTCGTTAGGGTGTTTGCTGTCCAGGGTTTAACAAGTGTCTGCGATGCCTTAGGGCTTGGTGTGAAAACTTGTGGTGGAGCCCTGACCCCTCCATCCTTCTTCCATGCGGAGGAACGCTTTAAGGAGGCAGAGACGTGGGAAAATACTTGCATTTCACGTTTAGATGGTGGCCTGTTCGCATCGTCCTGTGCTTGCAGCGGGTACTTTGTTCGGCGCTGTAGGAATGGCTGAAGACGGAGCCTCGCCTCGCAGCGGGGCCGTGCGGGGTGCACGCAGGAGGGCC